TTGTGTAAGATGAGTTGTGTGAGATGAGCGGTGTAAGACCAGTTGTGTAAGATGAGCGGTGTAAGATCAGTTGTGCAATATAAGTGGGCGGCGGCGGGCGGCGGAGTGGCAGACGCGAGGCGGCATGGAGCGGCGGGCGCAGAGCGAAAACCAAAAACCCCACACAGTGTCGGGGAAAAACAGAATCTGGAAAGACGAGAAGCCTGACTGTTGGTCAAGTCATGTCACCAGCCATGTAGGAACGGGTTTGATGCGTTCAAGCTGCAAATCAGGCAGAGCAAGATGGGCGTGTTGGGGCCGAAGTGGCGAGGTCTGAAGTGGGCCACAGCTATGGCAGCCAATGAGACCTCCAATAGGTTTTCGACACAGCTCCTTCCCCTTTCCATCAATGAAGAGTCTTTGTCGCACAGTTGTCGACACCTCTCCACGGAGGGGTTGGGCCACCCTCTGGTGCTTGGTTCAGCGCCGGGGGGCGTGGGTCGAGGAGGGCCAAACCGAGCAATCCCAACGTGGCCTCACTGGCGGCGGGCCGCTCAGTCCAAAAGTTCGGATGAGGTAGTGGTTGCACTTCAGCATTTTGTTGCCCCGGATGATGCAGTCGAGGTCATTTACACCGACAATTCCCGTGAGTTGATCGCTGGTATCAAGGAGTTAGGGTATCGTCACCAAACCTCCGTTGAGTATGTGGACTCCTCAAAGAGCTTCATTGAAAGGGAAGTCAGAAATATGCTTGAGGGAGCACGCACCAACCTTGTTCAGTCCGGTATGCCTCTTCAGTACTGGCCACTCGCCATCCAGCATTTTGCAATGGCAACAAACACGAGTGACCAGCTGGACTCATCTCCAAGCCCATGGGAATTACGTTTTGGAGAGATGTTCGAAGGTATGGCTATTCCATTCGGTGCAAAAGTCCTGTTCTGGAACAACCCCAATCGAGCCGACAATACGGCAGGAAAGCTGTCACCCACATCGGTGGAAGGTGTGTTTCTTGGTTACCATGTGCAGCCGGGACACAAATGACGTGGGGAGTATCTAGTTGCCAAGTTGGAAGCACTAGATTATCATGTTGAACACAACAGTTTGACGATCCAGAGGACAAAGAAAATCGAGCTCCTACCAGGTGGGTTTAGCTTTCCGTTGCGCGTCAAACAAGATCGAAAGGAAGCTATCCCTGATGACCCAAAGCTCAATCTCATCGAATCTCCCAATCCGATTCCATTAGCGGACGCTGACCTTGCGGAGTACACGCCATCCGAAGCACCAGAAGGAGTACCCGAACAGGGGGGGTGAGGAACCCGAACTCGAAGTCACTGCAGCAGACAAGGCTGAGGACTACAAGCCTGACACTACACCAGCCGGGGTCCCTATTCCTGAAGGTTACCATTGGGATGGTCTTCGTGTGGTAAAGACGTACAAAGGCAGCAAACGTCCAAAGGACATTCCATCGGATTACTGGAAAACGCTTGGTCCAAAAGATCGTGCAAGAAATGGACGAAGCAAAGTCATCCTCCAGCAAAGGTCCAAAGACCACTAGTCCAGCGATTCCTTCCCAGCTCGGTTCAAGCCGAAGCCCTTGTGCTACGGACCTGAGCACTAGCTGGGAAGCCGTGCCTACACCGAAAACGATGTTTGGGGCACCTGCAATGCCGCGGAAAGTGCTTGATCAACCTGAGCCGCATCGTCTTCCTCTCCGGGAGCTCGTCGCACAGCACATCAAGCAAATCGAGTTTCAAGTCGCCTTCGAGCTTTTCTGTGCTGTTGCCAGGCTCGTTTCTCGCGATGAGGTTGCTCGAAACCCGAAGGCCAAGGCAGCGTTGGACGCTGAGTGGGAGCGACTGAGAGCCAAGGGCACGTGGGACGAGGTCCGTGTTCAGGAGTGCCGGAAGGTCGTAAATGAGGCCAACCGAAAGGGAGAGACTGTCCATCTCGGCCGCATCTTCGAAGCGTGCTATGAGAAGGGCAGTGAGCTTGAAGAGTGGAACCCTTTGAGAAAATTCAAAGGAAGAACGGTTTTCGAAGGCAACAATGTCAGGGACCAAAACTCTGACCATGCCTTGTTTGGCGAGTTGGGCTCAAGTCCCGCGTCAATGGAAGCCGCAAAGGTTCTCGACGCCTACGGTAGTCAGCCAGGTTTTGGCAAACAACAGGCGGACGCTGTTCAAGCTTATGTCCAGGCCCTCTTCACTGGGGTGCCCACATGGATATCTCTTCCGCGAAACAGGTGGCCAAAGACCTGGGAGGGCAAATACCAAAACCCCGTGGTACCCCTCGTATTGGCACTATACGGACAAGACCAACAGCTAAACTTGCAATATTTTAACACCTGCGTGCTTGGCACAGCGTGCCGCTCTGCCATGCCAAAAGAGCGGACACAACACTTGGCGCTGCGTGCCGTTCTGAGGTTCCCGTGCCGTTAGCTGGCGCTGTCTTGCAATGGTTGGCCAGAGCGTGGCACGCGCAGGACCTGTCAACCCAAGCAGCTGAAAACATCGTCTGGAAATGTGCCCACGACTTGCCAAGGATTGGGTGTGGACCGCGCTCTGTAGCCCCATTCCTATCATCGTGGAAAGCCTTGCAGCAGGATTGGCCAGAGTTGCCCCTAGCGACGAAAGACTTTCCACCGCCGAAGCTGAGCAACCGCTACGCCGCACTTGCGCAAGCCATGCAAATCCAAAGCTTCATGCCATCGCGGAGCGGAAATGAGGACAAAGAAACCAGTCCCTGTTGCAACCATTTCCACCAATCGGTACAAAGCTTGTTCCCTGGCCGGCGGACAGTTATGGGCTGCGTGTGTGGACAACACTGTCCCGCCTGCTTCCTAGGCCATTGGTCATTCAAGTGGCCGCAATCCGCAGTTGGACATATTACGGGCCTGCAGTGCCATGAGTCTGCGGCAACCAAACAAGCCTCTATAGAGAAAAGAGAGAAAGACTGCACTGAAGTGTTTTCACACACATCTCCCTCTTTCGCTGCTCGCCAGGACCGGGCACGGCAACAACAGGTAGCAAAGCTGTACCTGTGCCCAGTGCCGAGGTTCAAGACGTACTGGTACCGGCAAGGGTTCCGGTGTGAGAGGGGCTCCAACAAAGCCGAACTAAAAGCAAGTGTCCCGCAGTCTTTGGCGGCAGAACTTTCCACGCTTCACCCTCACTGCGCATGCCACACGGCAAACGGAAAGTTGGCAACAGGATTTGCTGTTGGGCCCAGACCAAACCTTGCTTCCACACACACAATCAGCCATCTCCTGTCAGCTTGGTATGGACTTGACACCTGCAGGTCTTTGCAGAAGCACACACCTTTGATCCATGAATGGAAAAGCAGGGGCGAGGCGGCTGATCTGTGCAGGCAAGCTAGGTTTGACTAAACTCCGGCTGTAAGAAGTTGAACTTTGAACGCAAGTGTTGCGGTATGCCCGCTGTCAGTTTATAACCTTGGATCTCAAACCTCGGATCTCGGGTCTTGGACCTGGGACCTCGGATCTCGGACCCCCGGATCTCAGACCTCGGACTGAGCTTATTGCCAAGTATTTTAATATGGAGTACGCTCAATCACCACGAAACTTGGGTCATCAGAAGGTCACCATGACTTCATGGGGGGAGTCCTCTCTAAGGAATTTGTGTGTTTCCCCCGCTTCCTTAATGCAAACAAATGTAGGGGAGTTCGCGTCTCGATCGGCGAGGTTCGGGTGGAATGCCGGGAAGAGCCAGCCCACACGAGGTGCGAAGAACGACCATGGTCACGACACGGGCACCACTGGTCACGACACTGGAGGGTGACCAGTGGGGATTCGAAACATGGTCACGGGCTTTCTTCTGGGTCAAAATGGAGGCTTTGAACCGGGTGGTCGATTCATGTTGTTACTTGGGATGATTGAGCCCACTGACTCACATGTTCGTGAGTTGCCACCCGCCGACCTATACAAGGGATTGTTCGACCAGGTGAACTGGCTGTAGCTAAAAGGGAACCGTTGATTCGTATAAACCTTGCAGGGTGGAGGATGTGGAACCATCCTGGTAGGAGGGTTGGTTGATCAACAATCAACATTGAACAACCTCTAGCTGCTAGCTATAGAAGTGTTTCTACTCAGGTCTGGTGTTTCTACTGTCTACTTCTGATCCCTTGCATGTTGCCGGAGTTGAGATGATGTTTCTTTGTGCTGGGCCCCTCCCTCAGGGCGATCTGATGCCTACACGACGGAGTTTTTTGTTGGAAGAGTTTGGGAGATCTTGGGGAACATACTGCAATGCTGCACACCCGTCAGTCAACCTCTGGAGTCTAGAGGCACGGTAGATCGGGTAAGGTAAAATATGTTTTTTGATTCACAGAGTTTTTCGAATCTTACCCAGGAAATGTAGGTTGGATTTTTGGGGGGGGTCGGAGCATGCTTGTTCAATGTATTTGTATGTCATCCGTCATGATTGGGAATCCACCACCTGTAGGAGAAAGACATCCAGCCACGGTTTAGGCGCGGTGAGGACAGCCAGACGTCGACGCACGGTGAGACGCAGGTGGTTCCATCACCGAAGAGCTCCTCAGAGAGTGGCTCGACCGGGCGGATGGGTCGGCGGAAACCGACCCAGGCAGTCAGTGAATAACCTGCAGATGGCCGTTTTGATTGGGTAGATTGGTTTTTTCACACTAAACAAAAGACTAGCTGCGAGGGCCTTCATTCGGGGTGGTTAATGGACACTCCGAATCACGGCCGTTTGGGGCTAACACATAGACACCCCAAACGGAGGGTCCTGGTGGATAAAGGTTAAGTTGACCTCTTTTGGAGTCAGGAAAGTAAGGGGGACCGATTTGGGCGGGGGCCGCACGGTGGAGACAGTCACTCGCATAGATGATTCGTTCAACCCCGGAGGCACCCGTTGGACACGGCTCCAACGGTGTACCGACGATCAACGGAACATCGTTCTTAGGTGTTCCTTTAAAGGTTTATACTCCCTGGAATCATCATGTGGAAAACCACAGTGAAAACCACCTATTTGTGGGGGGAAAGATTCTCATTCAAGGGGCCATGCCATCCACGTAGCCATGGATGATTCCAGGAGTGTGGCAATGTTTAGGCTATCGTGTTTTCCCCACGCCAGCTTCTTGGCAAAAAGGCTTTACCCACGTTCAACCGGGTTTCGCATGGAGAAACCCGTGTTTCCAGGGTCCGAGAAAAGTGCACAGAAGGGCCATGTAGAGGCCTGCACAATGTTCCAATGAAGAGGCCAATCGACCAATGATTGTTTTCACTTTGAACTGTTTCACATAAATTTACAAAACGTGGAAGTTTGCAGATCAAACGATCCAAGATTGCTTGTGTTGAGGGTGGAAGGTATGCACCAAGAGCTTCTACTGCTGAATCAGATCCGTTTTTGGCATTTGTGTTGGGTTTCGTTGGGACATCGAGTGAATACCAACCGGTAGTTGGTCGCCCAGGGCAACATCTGCGAAAGATTGGGCCTAAGTAGGAAATCCCTTTACGATCAGCTGCCAGAATCTGCCCAATATAGTCGATCTGGACTTCTAGGGTTTACAGGGCATAGTCTCAACATATGCTCTACCAGTGAGAGGCGAAGCGAAGGAAGCATTTGGATGATTGCCTTCCGTGCTATCAGAAGAAAACTCTCCATGTGAACAGGAAACCCTAGGTGATGGTTTCAGATATTTTCGTTTTCAACCCTGCCATGGAGGCCGCAAGGATTCTTACGACAGACCACGACAGGACCCATTGCCCTCGTCCATAGCGAAAGAAGGAAAGCTTGCGTTCGTGTGTGCGCGCGCCAGGGCCATCGTTCGCGTTGTCCTGATGTGATAGTTGTGAACCTTGTTTCGTTTACAGCGAAGATGAAATGAACCAAGACTCGAACCCATGTATTTGAAGCCTTAGACATCCAGTAGTTCCTTTCTCAAAAGGGTTGACTCGACGCATTTCTTGGACCAGGAGGTTCCTTTAAGTCGAAAAAATGAGAGTCGTCGAACTGGACTCCTACAGGTGTTGTCTTCTGAGGCCACGGACCAACCCGTGTGGGCGGCCCCTTCCCTCCGCCTAAGCTGAGGAGGAGCGGCTTGCAACGGCAAGACTCAACGATGTCGGCGTTCTCATTTACGAGCCTTGGGCATACCGTAGAGTTGCCTTTGCTTGGGCGGTTTTGGGGTGACGTAAGTTACGTATATATTGCGTTGTGCTTATGGGGTATAGAAAAACAAAACCGTTCAGCAGGGCAAGATCCTGCAGGGTGTGTGTTGCGGATGCATTGACCAGACAAGAGGCCTCCGGTAAGCGGAGAGCAAAAGGTCCCATCCGAAGCGGAGGCGCCATGGACCGAACATCCCGAACTGGGTCACACCCACGGTGGGTTCAGCTCCCACGAAGACCCCATGACCCCATTGATGAGCTCTTCGTGACAGATGCGTGATTGCTTTCAAAAAGGGAAACGTCTAGTTGACCCCAACGTAACGTCGTTTAGACCCGCCCTACGTCGAGTGACAAATGACCGCCACACTACGTGTGAACTGATCGCCACACTCATCAACCTCACCACCTTTCGTCTCGCTCCGAGACCCTCCGTGGTGTTCCCCAGGAGCGACGAGTGGTCGATGGCGCCCGAGGTGGTCAGCACCTTTCATCCGCTCGGCGCGTGAAAACCGCGGAAGCCGGGCGCGTCCACCGCTCGGGGTTTGGAACGCGTTTTGGATGAAAATCTCGTTTTGGAACGCGTTTTGGTTGTCTCCTGCGTTTGGTTCTCGGTGGTTTGGTTCCTTTTAGTGGTGTTCTTGGGTGTGATGTCTCACTGTGTTCTTTTCGTTTTTTCTCCTGGGTTTTTTTTCTGAGTAGTTTTTTTTCTTGGGGGTGTTCTTTTGGTTTTTCCTTCTGTGTGATCTCTCACTTGTTTTTTTTGTGCCATGTTTTCTTCTCCGTGGTTTTCAGATTTGTTCGGACAAGATTTGATGAAAAAATGCAGGTTGATTCTAAGTCGACCCCAGCACCTGTGGAATACAGTGTTTGTTGATGTTACGTGCGTGCCACATGCGATTTCCGAACTCTCAGTCTTTGGTGTAGTGGCGCAGGGGCAGACTTCGCAACTCTGCATGTGAATGCAGAGATGGCTCACTTAGAACTTGATGTTTGCTGTGGGAGCTGTAGGAAGAAACTCCATGCAGCATGCTGCACAGAGATGTTGCTGTGTCCACAAACTGAAAGGGCTGCTTTACTATATCAGACGTTTCTCAGTGGACAGCTGCGGTGCCGGCCTTTGCGCGCAAACCAGTCATTGTGCTCTGCCTCCCTCCTCTTTTCGTCGACGCTGGTGCCGCGGGCTGATGCTGGTGCCGGGCATTGTGGATGCCGATTTCCGTTCGTGCTACGTGCCTCTGATAGGCGGTTCGACTGGGGGAACCTGGTATCTTCCCACCAGGTTTGATGTTCCCTGGTGCTGATCTTGCCACCTGGTGCTGGAACCCACAAATTCCAGGGATAAGGTGTATAAGACTTTGTGACTGATCTTCTTCTGGCTGGCAAAAGACAGAGCAAGACGTCGTGACGGAGCAAGCTTGCTTTTGGGCGCCTTCTGGGATTTCGTTGTTGCGGACCTGTCTCGTTCGCGAAGCAAGAAAGAAACTGCATGTTCAACCGAACTGAATGCATTCTCTACCTAATAGCAATGGCCTCAACTCTAGTACCAATGGCCTCCATCCTACTGGCGTTGGCCTCCATTCTAGTAGCAATTGGCCTCCGACCCACTAGCGATAGCCTCCAACCTAGTGACGATTGGCCTCCAACCTGAGAGCGATGGCCTCCAACCTTGATTTGCGACCAACAGGCTGTCGATGATGAGAGATGATGACAGTGACGATGTTTTTGCATCAGACTTCGGATGACCAGTGGGGGCGGCACGATCATGATGTGTTGTCACGAAAAGGTGCACGTCGTGTTGTCGATGCTGCTTCTCAGAGCATGAGATCGGGGGGGTGGGGTGCCCTGAATGTTTTTTTGGAGTTTCTGGGAGTAGTAACTAGCTACGTTCGTAGCTTCTTGCTCCCTTCGTAACTCGCGATGCCGCCTTCTCTCGTGGCGTCCGTACTTCGCGGGGCCGGGGGGACACCCGCGGGTATGAGTGCGGTGGTAGGACGGTGTGATGAGTGTGTAGCGATTGACCCTTTCACGAAGACATCACATGGTTACGTGGATGGCATGGTCTCGAGTTAGGAAGACAAATGGTCACGAAAACCAACGTATAGGGGTGCCATCTACTTCCATGTGATGTGTTCGTCAGAGTGTAGGTTTGTTCCGTTCATCTCCGATTGAGTGACATGGACATGTCATTGTTTGTCTAAGAGTGTTTTCAAGCGGGAGGGGTCACGATGTTTATAGATCTATCGTGGGAAGCCCAACACTTCATGCGTTGACAGCCGCTGTAGCCGCTGTTTGTCAACGCAGACAGCGGTCCAGCCACGTGAGGTCCGGCCATGTGGAGGACATCTCCAATGAGAACGTGCTGAATGAGAGGCCCAGCCGACCGGTCGGGCGCGAGGCCCGACGGAGGTTGCGACCGACTGGGAGTGTGGGAAGCCGCCCAGTCGACCAAAAAGGATTTGGGGGAAAGCGACCAATGAAAGCTTTCTTGATCAGTAAACCCCCCCAAGCCTGAAGAGGTGTTTCAATTCCAATGGGGGTGTGTGTTAATGAAGAGTCTACATTACAAGATGGGAGTTTGAATCAAAGCTGGTTCGGATTGGTAATTTGCCAATTTCGTTGGGATGGGATTGGAAGGTATGGAAGGTAGGTTAACTATCTTTTTGCTGATCACACATACCTCGTGGACCCCCTTCGTTCTTCAGCAGATGCAGAACCTCGTTCCCCTGAGCCCTCGTGGCTCCTCCAACACCTGCCCTCTCGGACTTCGGATGCCCTCTGCTCGGTCGGACTTCGGAGTGGTTGTGACATGTTGTGACGATTGGGAAACCATGGAATTTCGCATCACCCCTCCTAGCTAAATGGATATGGGGTGGGACCTATAGGTAGTGGATATGCACCGAGAATATCCACAGCACTACAACTCTACACCGCTCTTGAACCATCAAATTCAACACCAACCACCCACCACACCCCTCTGGGCGCGAAGGGCAGCGCGAAACCTCGGCGCTTCCCTCGCGCTTCCCCCTCGCCGCGTCGAGCGTCGATGCGCCTCGCTGCGCGTCGCTGCAGGTGGCGGCGCCTGAGCTTCGTTCGCGTCTACATGCGGAAGTTCTGCCTCTTCGGCGGGTGGGCGGCCGCCCGGCAGAAGGGCCGCAGGGTCGGTGCGCTCGCCGTTGGCGAGGTCGGTGGGGAGCTGTGTTTCTCAGGGTGATGGGGAGGTCCGGAATTTCACACAGTCAACTCACGCTGCACTTGCTCAGCGACCGTGGTGGTTGCGTCCATGAAGGTCATTTTGGTTCAAAACCTCCCATCTTGGTGTCGCGTTCCCGTGGTCGTTCCGCAGTTCCGCGGCTCGTGCCAGCGTGCCGAGTCGGACGATGGACGGGAAGCGAGTTCGGGTGACCTGGTGACATCTGTACAGTCTCCTAGACACTTGCGGTAGGTTGCAGGGCAATGTGCCCTGTGACTTGGTGTCACCCACACACTATTTTGCCAAGAAAGTTAGTTAGACTCTTGAGGACCATAAACCCCCCAAGCCTCTTCAGAGGATGTCCAATTCAAGTAGGGGGGTTATGTACCTCAAGAGTCTACATCAACTATTTCGAGGTCCACAAGTGAGTTTTGCCATTCACTGAGCCTCCGAAGTGAGTTATTTTCGGGGGACAAAGGAGGCACATGGAGGGATAGGACCTCAAACGCACATCGGACTTGAAAATGGAAGCCGAGAGGGGTTTGTGTTTTACAAAGCATGAGTTTGGGGGTTCTATAGGTTGTGGTTTTGTCAACAGCATGTCGTGCAGAATATGGCGGAACCATGCGGAACCGTAGTATGGTGCTGTCTTCTTGCACGTCAGAAAGATTGGATTTCAAATGATTTTTGGGGTGGCAGCAACTGTCCCCTCCCTTCAGCCCTCTTCCTTCAGCCTTGCTGTGACATCCTGTGACCAGCAGTCAAACCAGAGGCTATTGCTATATGGCTGGCAGTGGAGGTAGCCCCAAAAAGCACGACTGCAATGCCATAACTATGCTTCTTCACAAGAATCGCTCGTGCTACGTCATTTTTGGACGATCGCTACAGACAAACGGAAATCGGGTCTCCCTATTGAATTCAACAAGAGGATGACAGAGACGAAAGCCAGCCTTTGTGCATGGAAGTTGCACCGACTCCTATGCAAGAGTTCACTGGATCATTTCAGAACAAGAGCCGTGGTGCGCCTCTCGCCACGACCTGCTCCGTGCCACGCCGCGGAAACCATGTGCAAACGAGCCTCGCGGGAGTTGCACAGCGCGGGGCAGCCGGGAGTCGCGTCGCTCGCCCCGTGTGGCGTATTCGCTTGACCCTGGCCCTTTATGGGCTCAATGGCCCTCTGCCTGGCGGTGCAAGAGGGAAATGAATACCTTCCCTGCAAGTGGCGCGCCACATTCAAAAATGTGATGGACAGCAAGGCGGCATGCGCGTTGCCTGAGAAATCTTCCAGGGCAAGTCTTTCTTGGCACATCGAGTGGATGAGGTGATGGCTCCCTTTGTTCACATGGTTCGACGGACGTCACAGAGCCCCCTGCCACAGAAGCCTTCGTCCGTCCTCGGCCGATCTTCCTTCTTCTCAGGTGATCTTCGTGTGGGGTGTGGTGACGCTCTACCAGATGCCCGCAAGAAATAGAGCTGGGGTCATCGCAGGGGAGCGCGCAGCTGTGTCTTCAAGTTCCCACATGCTGGGTACGTCGTGGTCCCCAAATAGATAGCGGCACAATACATGTTGAAAGGATTTGAAAAGGGATGTTAATGTAGTCCCTTGATTTATAAACCCCCCCCCTTGAAATGTAGAGCCTACTTGTACAGGTTCCACTCCAGTGGCCTATCTAGTGTGTCCATGCTTGACTGCCATAAGGCTCAAGAGGATAAGACTCTGCGCATAAAAGACACTAGCGGTCTGCACCTCAACCGTGTACGCCCTAGTCACTCTTTCAGTGGTAGCGGAGCAGTGATCCTGGAAGACCCAGGTGAGCTCCTTTCCTAGGCATAGACTTGCTTTTAGGCAAACGGCCATGGATTGGATTGACGACTGGGAAGAGCCTGATGCGGATGTGGCTTATGAGCCAGCAGCCTATGTGAATAGGCATGTGAGAAGAGAACCAGCAGCAATAGCAATGACAACACAGGTCACTACAAAAGTGCCCCCATCTTATGATGGAAAGACTTCATGGTTTTCCTATGAGGATGCCATAGATGATTGGTGCGATATCACCGAGCTGGAGGATGAGAAGAGAGGACCAGCATTGAGGAACAGATTAGAAGGAGAAGCAGCCGTATACAAACGTGTTCTAGACAGAGATGCATTGAAGGCGAATGATCCACCAGGAGCTGGAGTAGATTATTTCAAGCGAGTACTACGACCATATTTTGTGAAAGGATCAACCAATGTATTCCTGTATAGGTTTATGCAATTCGTGCGCTTCAATCGAGGATCAGCTGATATGATGAAGTGGATGACAAGATTTCAGATTTTACTCCAAAGGCTTATGAGCAGTTGGATGGACATGTTGGATCCAGTCACACAAGCACATCCTCAGGTACAAGCTCAGATGCAAGCTGATGCAGTGATGAATGGAGTAGCTCCAACGGCAGAAAGAATTCAGGAAATCATGCAGACTATCAATGGCAATTTGAGAACCTTTCATCAGAACGACTTTCCTTTAGGAGAAAATCTCATTGCCTTACTCATGCTGTCACTTGCAGATTTGTCTCAGGACCAGAGGAACACTTTGACCTCTTTGATGACTCATCGTGGTAGGGTCCTGCAGCAATATACCACAACAGAGTTGAGGACAGTTTTCATTGAGAGGTTCTGCACGACAAAGACTTCAGTAGACAATCCTTTGATGCAGCCGACAGGTGCTGGAGGCAGAAGAACATTCCTCGTGCTTGAAGAAGGAGAACTCGATGGTACATATGGCTATTGGGCCGAAGATGAAGAAGATGGAGCAGAAGGATTTCTTGATGCCCTGGACGATGTCTTTTGGGTATATGATGAACAGAATTTCTCTTGGTTCCAGAGGAGATTCCAAGGAAGAAGAGCCAGAAAAGGCAAAGGAAAAGGAAGAAGAAAAGGAAAAGGCAAAGGAAGATCAGGCCGCAGATTCTTCAGACCTCGTGG